TTAGGGGAAAGTGCAAAGTAAAAATTACCTGTTTACCTGTTAAATTATTATAATTTTTTTATTTACTATTATTTTATAATCTTTCTTTGTTTACTTTATTTTTTTAAACTGAAGAATCAACTTTATATTAATTTGTTTTGTGGTTAAATAGACTGATCTGTACGCTGTAGACTCTCAGAAAAAGGCTGGATTTTCTTAACACTTTGTACGGTATTGGTAATTACTTTTATTAAAACATGTACATTATTATATGATAGAATACTTATCAAATCACTAGTTAATGTTAAATCAAATCAAAATTCTGTATGTTTTATATATCTTCACTGCAGACCACGCTGTACCCTCATGGACCCCTGGTTGAAAACCCTATGAAAGATCTCAAAGCACATCATGCGGTCACATTAAAGCTGGACGCGTTGCTGTATGCAAGTGAAATGCTCTGAAATGATCCGTATGTCACACAATCATCCTCCATCCTCCTCTGTGGTCTGATCTAATGTGTTCTTATAGTTTGTAAAGTCCACACAGCAGTGCCGTGAGTAATATAGGCTGCTTTAACTGATGATATTTGCACAAGTGCTCGTTTTCCTTGAAGCTTTATTTGAGTGTACGACTGTTCTCTTTGGTTTATATTGCATGTCAGCATGGTAAAGGTCAGACCTTGATATCTCAATGAAAATGGGATAATTTCACTGACTACACTTTTGATATTAATGTGCTCGGTACCTAAGTATGACACTGAATAATAATAATTGCTAGATTTATACATTTACTGAAGGGTTTGCTGGCGTTAGTCACCTTTATCACCTTTATTTATATAGCGCTTTTAACAATACAGATTGTGTCAAAGCAACTGAACAGCATTAATTAGGAAAATAGTGTGTCAATAATGCAAAATGACAATAGTAAACACTAATTTTCCAGTTAAAGACAGTTAACTAAAGACGTTAGTCTGTGAAAAACTTGCCACCACAATGGTAGGGTGTTCTGGGTGGTTACTGTGGTGTTCTGGGTAGTTTCTAGGGTTTTCTGGGTGATCACTACTGGAGGTGGTTTCTGGTTAGTTACTAGGGTGTTTTTGGGTGGTTTCTAGGGTTTTCCGGTTGGTTTCTAGGGTGTTCTGGGTGATCACCACAGTAGGTGTTTTCTGGTTAGTTTCTAGGGTATTCTGGGTGGTTGCTAGGGCATTTCTATGGTATTCTGGGTGGTTGTTAGGGCGTTTCTAGGGTGTTCTGGGGGGTTTCTAGGATGTGTCTAGGGTGTTCTGGGCAGTTACTACAGTAAGTAGTTGCTAGGGTGTTCTCGGCAGCTACTAGAATGTTTTGGGTGGTTAATAGGGTGTTTCTAGGGTGTTCTGGGTGGTTACTAGGGCGTTTCTAGGGGGTTTTGGGTGGTTACTAGGGCGTTTCTAGGGTGTTTTGGGTGGTTACTTAGGTGTTCTTGGCAGTTACTACAGTAAGTAGTTGCTAGGGTGTTCTCTGCAGATAGTAGAGTGTTTCGGGCGGTTACTAGGGTGTTTCCAAGGTGTTCTGGGTGGTTTCTAGGGTGTTCTGGGTGATCAACACATTAGGTGTTTTCTGGTTAGTTTCTGGGTGGTTACTAGGGCGTTTCTAGGGTGTTCTGGGCGGTTTCTAGGGCGTTTCTAGGGTGTTCTGGGTGGTTTCTAGGATGTTTGTAGGGTGTTCTGGGTGGTTATTTAGGTGTTCTGGGCAGTTATTACAGTAAGTAGTTGCTAGGGTGTTCTCGGCAGCTACTAGAGTGTTTTGGGTGGTTAATAGGGTGTTTCTAGGGTGTTCTGGGTGGTTACTAGGGCGTTTCTAGGGAGTTCTCAGCAGTTACTGGAGTGTTTTGGGTGGTTATTAGGGTGTTTCTAGGGTGTACTGGGTGGTTACTTACCTTGGGTGTTCTGGGCAGTTACTACAGTAAGTAGTTGCTAGGGTGTTCTCAACGGTTACTGGAGTGTTTTGGGTGGTTACTAGGTGGTTTCTATGATGTTCTGGGCAGTTTCTGGGGTGTTCTGGGTGGTTTCTAGGATGTTTGTAGGGTGTTCTGGGTGGTTACTAGGGCGTTTCTAGGGTGTTCTGGGCGGTTTCTAGGGCGTTTCTAGTGTGTTCTGGGTGGTTTCTAGGATGTTTGTAGGGTGTTCTGGGCAGTTACTACAGTAAGTAGTTGCCAGGGTGTTCTCAAGGGTTACTGGAGTGTTTTGGGTGGTTACTAGGTGGTTTCTATTATGTTTCTGGGGTGTTCTGGGTGGTTACTAGGGCGTTTCTAGGGTGTTCTCAACGGTTACTGGAGTGTTTTGGGTGGTTACTAGGTGGTTTCTATGATGTTCTGGGTGGTTTCTGGGGTGTTCTGGGTGATTACAAAGTGGTACTACTGGTCAAAAGCATCTACCTCAAATCCCTGTCATATTCTGGTTTTTAGATATGGTTTGTGTCCCTCTTTTTTCACAAATTTTATGTTACGTTAGGTAAAACTCAATGCTTTGAAAAGTAAAAACACAATTTAATAGCCACATGATTTGAAGCGTCATTGATCTCTGTAGCACAAAATGTGCAGATAGCAGATATTAGCAAACAGCGCTAATAATAAACATCAGGCGGCTTAATTCAAGTTAATCATGCAGTTTTCTTTTGGCATCAGCACTTTAATTTTAAGTGATTATTTTTTGGTCTTGTTTTGTTTTCATCCGTTTATTATTTTTGAGTCAAATTGCCGGTTGTTTAAGACTGTTAGTGCCTTACAACCTCACAAAGTGCCAAATAATCACTCCCGACTTTTCAATGCCGCTCACTGTCGGTTTTTATTAGCGATTCCCTCAGCTGAAACTACCCAAATTACACATAATGAACTCCAATTAACATTTGGAGTCAGCAATTAAGTTGCCTTCCAGAGGCCTGATGTGAAAAGGGAGCTCATGCCGTCTGGACGCTTAGCATTAGTGTTAGCGGTGTGTCTGCAAGCCCGCGTCCAAATGTTTACAATCCAATTAACGGCTCCGTTCGTCCTCTCAGTCTGATCTAAATGCCACGTTTGCTGAGAATGTGAAGTAAATCCTGGGTAAAACTTTTATGTTTCCTCTTATAGGAACAATTTGCTCTTAAATGAAGGTTTTGTCTTTATTTATTCGCCCTCATATTCTATTCCAGACCCGGCCTGTTGTTTTCATTCTGTACAACACATGAGGAGAAATGTATGCAGCCTTGGCCTGTCGAGCCCTAAAAAGACAAGAATGACTTCCGAAGACATGAAATATAGCACACAAGTAGTATTGACCACTTTTATGACGGTTTTTGATTACTTTTGGAATTTGTCAGATGTTGTCACCATGAACTGCCATTGTATTAAATATATACAACAATTATTACCTCTTGTAATTATTATTGCGTTAACCTCTCCGATTAATCATTCTAATAATTATTAGTTGAAAACAATCGCTATTTGAAGCCTGTTGTGTCTCAGGGAGCTCATACACGTGACGGGCAGCATCTAAAGTCACAATCTGTCTCCGTGAAGGACCGAGCTTTTCCCTTCATGGCTTTTAAAGTGCATTAGACCGTCATCCCTGATCCTGCTGTCTTTTTTCGTCCATCTGAGACAGGAAGCTCGGTGCGGGTTAAAAGGCTCGTGCCCCTCTATCAGTCCCTCTCCGGTTCTATGTTGAGAGGCTCGGCAGGGAAAAAGGGTTTGATGTAGTGACTCGAGAGCAATTCTCCGAGTCTTGATATCAGCGCGGCCCATCTGATCTCCCGAGCCCTGGTCGATGACGCTGCCGACCAATCAGGAGCTAGTATCAGTGCGGACACGACAGCACCTGACCTCTTGTCTTGAAACGCTGCCGTTCGTCTGGATTTGTGTTGATAAATAAAGCCGGGGAGAGAGAGGGGAGGACGGCATTACCGGGAATGAGAAAACGCTCTTTTTAGTTTGACGGAGGTCAGATTCAGTAGGTATCGGCTCCATCTGACTGATTCGTTCCTGATCATATCAGCTCTAAAGGAACTGGTTTATTTCGAGAATACATCAGGACAGCAGAGATGGCTGTAGATACGGAGCTGTGAGGGCCGGCCGGGGCTTATCAGGGCGCTGCAGCTCAGGGGGCGGGGCTTGTGGGTGACGGGCGGTGCTGATGACCAATCAGAACCTTATTTCACTTCTAGAAGCAGAACATATTGGTGATTAATAGGAGTTTTTGCATATTATTTTGTAGCGCTCAGTCTTTCTATTTCTGAATTCAGACTGCGAATTCACAACTAAGAAAAAATATTTTATTCATTATTTTTCAGCTTTAACTCAACTTAAAAATATTAAAGAAAATCTCAAAATATAATAACGATAAAATAATATTAATAATAACATTCTCAAAATCAATTATTAAAATAAAAAGTAAAATAAAATATTTGATTTGATTGGTTTTGAGATTATTATTATAATTAAACTATTCAACTCACTTTAACTTTTTTTATTTCTTATTATTATTAAACTAAATTAACTCGTGATAACTACGATTTTTTTTATTATAAGATTTTGATGTTATGAATTAAGTTTGAGATTATTATTAGTAGTAGTAGTAATAATAATTTCATAAACTCACAGCTTAGATAAAATATTTTGTTTGCTTTTTATTTTATTTATTTTGAGATGATATTATTAATATTATTATTATTAGTCCAGTAATAATAATAACTCATAATAGAAAATTATTGATTTTTTATTTTAAATTGTATTTTAAGTGTTTTTTATGATTTATTATTATTAGATCAGTCCTCTAATTTCATAAGAAAATATTTATTTAGCTCAGAGAAAATTTATATCACCAAGTCATGCATTAAAGTAAAGCAGATTTTATTAGAATACACACTGTGATTTTTGGCGAGACTGATTTAAATGACATTATAAATGACTTGGATACAACTGGAATATTTGAGAGGTAAAATTACAGGCAAAGATAATTAGATTTTCCTCCAATGCATAAACAAGATAAATAAATGACAGATTAGAAGGTTTTAACTCAATAAAATTTGATCAAAAGCTAAAATTCATCAGTTAGCGCGTGTAAGACCTGAAAACATATCTCTGTGAAAATCTTAGGTGAGTTGTTGTAGCTTTTGTAGCTTCAAAAGCGTCGTCTGAATGAATCTCTCAGGTTTTCTGTGTCTCATCTAAAATACTTTCAACCACTTTCCCTTCAGAAACCAGAGCGTTCTGTCATTAGCCCTCATTAATATTCAACGAGCGCTCTTATCTCGGATGAACGCAGATGACAGATCTATCAGAAAGTCATAAAAAAATGATAAATCATGCTGTTGTCCTTCGTTTCTGGATGTTGCACGGTTTAATTAAACTAAAATGGGAGCAGAAGAAAATGAATAAAGATGATCGCTGAAGTTACGGCGAAGCTCGGCGCCGGAGGGGCCACCGGTGGAACCGAGACATTTTTAGCGGATTAATTATTGTAATTAATGCTAGATGATGACCTGTGTGCACGGGCTTGAGAGATGGAAATGACTTAGTCACCAAAATACTGAAGTTTTCAGTGTGTTGGATTGAACTACATGTAGTACAGTGTCACCTGATTAATTTTGTCGACTGAATGAATTACATGACATGAAATGCAGTAAAAGTGTCTAATTCAATAGTAAGTTTACTATCCAAGGAGTAAATTATAGTTTCACTGGTTCTTTGAAATGAAACCACTCTTCAATTGTTCAATTTGAAATTTTATATATATACTAATTATGATTCTATAAATAATTACTAATTATATAAATAATAATTTATATAATTACTGTATAATATTTAAAGTACAATTTATTTTATATGTTGTAACATTTAATATTTTTGTGTGTATATA